TTACTCAGAGTCATTCAATATGATGGTTTGTACAAATATGATCGTTGTACATATGTTTGCCAACATTCATTCATCGAAGTATAAAATATATTTTTAACGCCCTTAAACCATATATTTCTAATTAAATGTATATTCCAACTACTTCTTTATAAATAAATTGAATAAGTAATTATAGTAAATATAATTAATAAACATTTATTATGTCTATCAAGCACATATTTCAAATTAAATAATTAAAAATAATTTTGTTCATCTAATTTGGCACAAAAAAAAAAATCAAAATATTAAAAAAACAAGGTGTGTCGTGTTCAATAAAACTTTGAAAACCTCTGCTCTACAATATTAACTCAAAAAACGTGTTCGTTAAACCAATCTTTAGTCGATCTATAAAATAGTAGACTATCGATAGTTTAAAATTTGGGTGACTTTTTTCAAATATCAAAAAGTTTTAAATTAAGCGAGCGTTTGAATTATAGTAGTTTTGAATTTCATACATTTAGATTAAAGAGATTATTCAGGAGACCAAATGTTTAGTTATAGAAGTATTCGAATCATCGAGAGTATACTATGAATACTATGTATAAAATGTATTACTGTTGTTAATATCATTTTTTTTTTTTTTTTTTATGATAAAAATCCCCAGATTTATATTTTATATGCTATACAGTATCCACCAATGTATTGCAAATTGCGTTTTTTAGGCGCTTGTTGTGATTGCTTTTAATTATTTTAATACATCACTTCTTTATTTACAATGGCCAATCGAGTTATCTATATCATATATTTATATTTTTTGTAAATGTTATTATACTTATTCGTTTTTATCTAAATTAAAGTTAATTATATTTATTTTTATTATTATGGTTATAAATTAATAGATATAGATAATAATAGTTCTACTTCATATACTTTTATCCATAGCATAAAATATTTACTAGTATTTATTATTAACCATAAACTAAGTTAAAGTTCCTAATTTATTGCATATTTGCATGATTAGTTATAAAATATGATTAATAATAACGCTAAAGTAGTAATGTTGTCAGTAAGGTCAATTGAATACCTATGTTTTTTTGTTATCAACATGAGTACTCTACTAAAAAATCTATGAATAAAATGGATTACACTTTATACCAACGAATATGCGGAATTTCAAATAAAAATAATAGTTCATAACATTTTACTTATGAAACAAGTAATAATCAATAATAATGTATCAGTATTTAATAAACATATAAAATTATATGTTTATATGACAATTTATTGATTATATTTGACTTAGAAAAATTAGAGAGTTATCTCTCCTCTAATTTATGTAGATAGTAATCAAATTAATTAAAATTAGTTTTGTTATAATCTTACAATAAAGATCATTTAAAATAACTTTAAACAATTAAATTATTTGTAAATGTATATGTTTAAATGGTATTCAAAAGGTAGTAAGTAACCGGTTTATAATAAAAGTGGCTTATCTGTATAATCCATTAGCAATCCTGCCATACACTTGCAATGTTTTCGTTAGTATTAAAAATTTTAAATATCATTTACATAATATTTTTGCTTACAAAAATAAATAAATTATTGTATAAATGCATATTTACTTCAGCTAATAAATAAGTCTTCAAGACTTAACAATTTAATTTATTTTATAATAATATATAGGTACAACTAAAACATTGCAATGACGACTGACTAGTAAAACAACTTTTTGTAAAAATTAATTACGTTTTAATATATTGCGAACAGTAAGCAATTTTTCTGTGATCATGGAATTTTAATTACGTTAAAATTCATACGAATCTCGAATATATTTCAAATATTCGTAACGTCAATTCATAATTTACGTAAATTAAATTTTATAAACAATTATAGTAGCATAATAAAGTAGGTAGGTATTTTATTCGAAAAATATCGTGTAAAGGGTAAAATCAAAACTTACATCATGCAGTATGTAATATAAATATTACGTCGAATTATTGGCCTTTTAATATATTATTTGTTGTTGTATGCAAGCCTGGGGCTATATTATGTTTATTAATTCGCGCGTAAACACCTTACATCCATGAATTTCGTGTTACGCGACCAATTACCAAAACATACTACCGAATGATATAAAGATAATATTATAAAAGTTTGTTTTTTCTGCTAAACACTAGTTCACTAAATGTATTGAATAATTTTTCAATTTTTGATTCAGTTTTGGTAGTTGAAAAAAATTCCATTATGTAAATCATCATCATTTAGTAATAAGAAAATAATAAATACAATAGAATATTTATATCCATTTGAATAGCGTTAGTTTAGTGCGTTACTCTGGGATCCAGTGCATATGATCAGTAACTTATTTTAAATTTTTTTGTAGGGATTTTTAAGTTTTTCTATAAACTAAGTGATTTTGTATTATGATAAAAATACATATAAGTTATAAAAGAATAATTATGTTACTCTATTATTATTATAAATACAAATTAAAAGTTATTTACAACCCCGCATGATATAAATTAATATTCTATTTCTCTTCTGTACTTCTATAATAAATCATTTATACATTATGAACTTGTTTTTCCTTCTGGGGGTGGTCGAGACCCGGGAACCCTCCCCTTCAAATATACTCTGTATATAAAATATCTGTTATTTATAGATTTTGTTTGAACTCGGATTTCTTTACGAACCAAAAAACAGATAGGTCTTTAAAATTTCGTTGTAATTTTAATAAATTTAACACTTACACAAAGGACATTCAAATTATATTACTAAATTTTTAGATTCTAAGTAAAACTTAATTTTACTTTCATTTTACAGTTATTTTTATACTTTGCTTTCTTCAATATCGATCCACCGAAGGTGTTTTAAACAGTTGATTTTAAAATAAATTTGTCATAAAAGTACTCGTACTCTATGACTGCACAATCAAATCGATAAAAGTAGGTTTTATATCATATTATCTGAGATTAGTGGATTATGATTAATGGACAATAGTTATAATGTATAATATATATATATATATTTAGTAGATAGTGCCTAGAATGTTTAGCACCACCAAACTCCAAATAAAGACTATCTGTATGGCTGTGTTTGCCGTTTAATATTTTTATCCGACATCGGTTGTAATATAAGTTTTCATTTTTCGCATAAATCACTGTTGCCTGAAATTGAAAATGGATTTATGCCGAAGTTCCGGATGTTAAACTACATTTTTCTACAAATTAATTTGGACCAATGAACATATTCGACATGATAGATAAAATATTAAGAAGAACGTTTCGGAGTTCTCATCACACACCACGTGTTGATGTTTTTTTTTTTTTCGTATCGGAAGATTATTGCTCTCGTGTGTGGCGCCCCGAGTTTTGCGGAAGTTTTTTAAATTTTTTTTTATGCGTATTTAAATAACCGTACACGCGCTGCGACACATGTGTACGAGTCAAGAAGAACACAATACACCAATTGGAGGAGTCGTACAGCGAACGGAGTTTATAGAAAATGACGCAATACACCGACGGCGGCGGGTCAAGTGGGGCGGCTGCGCGAGCGCGTTCTATCGTTTACATTATTATTATTTCGTGTTCGTCGTCGTTAACGTTCCTCCGGATCGAGTTTAATAGCCTGTGGACCGTCGTCGACGAACTGAGCTACGGCGGCGGCGGCGACGACGTTAGAAATTATATTAGTTGGTGGTAGTAGAGGTATACGCGTCGTCTTCGTCGTCGTCCGTTCGTTGCAACGAAGTGAGGCCGCCGCCGCCTCACCGCATTCCACGCTCCTTCGACCGGCGTGAGTAAAGGACCTTGAATGTTTTCACAGACAACCTTCACGACAGAACCGGACCCTGTGGTACACACGTTGTCCGGTGAGTGCGCGCACGTACACACACCGTTCAATGTTTGGAGAACGGGTGGAGGAGGGGTATAGGTATACTATGTACTACAGCACAACGCGCTCAGTCACTGACTCCGAAACCACTACCCACCCCTCCCCCCACTGCCGGTAGTCACGCCTCCCTCGCCGTCTCGAAGTCTTTCTTCCCCATCGACACGCACGAACCGTTTTTTTTTTCGTTTTACTATATTTTTTGTTTTTATTATTATTATATTTTTGAAAATCACGTATCGAATTCGTATCACTTACGATACGTATTGAAATCGCGGGTCGTCTAAGCCGGAGGACCGGCAAAACTGGATTGTACCCGCACGATGAGACGCTTCCGCCGTCATCGAAAGAAGTCTGAACTCCCGTGGTTATAATATTTTAACCGTTGACACCGCCGTGCGCGAAAACTTGTTATCGATCAAAAAAAAAAAAAAAATAAAAATAACAAAAACTTTTGTTATCGCTCCGGCGCCTGTTCGGATACAGTGAGGGGATACTATTAAAACGGATTTAATCGTAGTTTATAACAACACTGGGCAGTTGTAACACGAAAACATAATATGATCGTTTTTTTTCTAAACTCAACATGAACTGAACTGTTGATTTAAGCATAGTCTCTCAAAACCATGGCTTTTTTACCAATCGGAGAATACGTTTTGTCGCACCGATTTACTTTATTCCGTTTGAACTTCGTTGCTGTTGTATAAACCATAGTATATATATATATATATATATATATATATATATATAAACCAGTATACATATATCTAAACATTAATGTGACATTAATGTTTCAAATGCGCGCACCGACGGTCAAATGTTTTTCGCGTCTGACCCGCCGTACGAATTCCGTCTGCTGTACGCGTTTTGTAGGAATTATGTTCTAGACGCGACAAACGAGATACGTTTGTTATGTTTTTTGCTGCGCGTACCGCTCGTTTCGCCGACAACGATATATTCGTTACGACAAAATGTACACAATATGCGATATTCCGTTAAGCAATATTAATACCACTGTGTACACTGCGACGAGCCCGTGATGCGAACGTCACAGACACGCGCGCGGCGGACTCGACGAGGAGAGCACAGAGATATTCTTCTCCGGGCACTGGTCGGCCGCCGCCGTATCCGTAACCGCCTTCTTGGTGCGCCTGCCGTGAACGTGTGCGTGTGTACAACATACCTGTTGCCGCTGCGGCGGTGCGTGTTCCGTCGCCGCATTCCGTAACCGCTTAGCCATCGGATCGGACGTCCGCCGCCGCCGCCGTCGTCGTCGTCCTCGTGTATGGGAAGAGAAGAAGAAACAATAATATTAGATAACCGACGCCGCGAGCTCGTGTCTCTGGTCTGCGTTCCGTGTGTTTACTTGTTTTTTCTGTGGCCGCCGTCACGTTGACGGGTGCACTACCCCGTTGGTTTTCTGATTTTTTTTTTTTCTTTTCTCGCCATCCCGCGTTCGTCGTGCGCGTCTGTTTTTTTCGTCGTGCTCTCGTCTCCGTCCAAAATTGAGCGTTTGTGCGCGTCCGGCGTGTTCCTCGACCCTCGAGGATGCTATAACGGGTCGGAGACATCTTGTAGCGTGGACATGGAACACAGGGATTACGGGGATCGCGTGTCACCACCGCTTTCTTCTCAACAACAGCAGCAACAGCATCAACAGCAGCAACAACAACAACATCAACAGCTTCAGCAGCAACAACAGCCACTACCACCTACACAACAACAGCAACAACAACAGACACTGCCACCCCCTGCTAATCATACTGATCAGGTATATTCTACTTGGTTTTCGTCGTCCAAACCCCCCTATTATTCCTCGTCGTCTTACGGAAACTTCGTTTGGTAGTCTATTGGTTTTTACTTATTATGTGTTAGTTCAAAACGAGTTTGAATTTTGGGTTGTTTTATCGTGGAATGTTTTAGAATTTTTAAAAAAGACGTGGCCACGAATTTCTGTTTGAAAAAGCGCGTTTTTCGATTTTTTGTAAAATTATTCGATTTATATAATTTAAAAATATAGTATGAACCGTCAGCTATGGTTATCAACACGTCCGAGTACTGCTTGATCTGATGATCTCATAAATGTTTTTGAAAGGTTTTGAAATTTACTACTTACCACGAATGACACGTTTTGATATTTGAATATCTGATATTGAACTTCATTTTTACTAACATAAAATATTCAGAATAAAATTATTGCTCAAACGTAAGCATATTCTACTTTTAGGTAGTTTTTAACATACGATTACAATGTAGATAATGATGAATTTTATTACCGTTGATATAAAATATTTAATATTTTCTTTGCATGTTTTGATAATGTGATTATAATTTCGTAACCTTTTTTTTTTTTTGTACTTTAAATTTGTTTGAATTTAAAATATATTTAAGAGAACAAACAGGAGGTTGGTAGACATTTATGTAAATATTTGATAAGTATTGTTCATAATGTCATGTTTAACAGAGTTTTTTAACGTTATTTCATGAAATTCATGTTTTGTTGAACAAACTATCATAGTGAAATAATCTCGATATTATAAACTACTATATACATAGTATTATAGATACTTAAGAAGGTAATACGACGTGACGATTATAATCGTATAATATGAAATCTGAACAAATCTTTGTAATGCCCCATCCGAGTACATTATACACATATACACGTGGATAGCATGTACACCTGTTGCTCGCTGCCAACTCCCCTGGTTGTACATTAATTATACCCCATCAAGGATGGTTCGAACAGGTTTATATAAAGAAGACCTCATATTATAACATATTTTTCATTCACGGAGTTCTTTATCACTTATATATTCGAGTGAATTATATAATGACTGTTGTGGTTGTTGTCATTTAAATAGGGGTGAAGTAAATAGTGCGCGATTGGATAAAAAATAAACAGCAATCGTTTAGAAGGTTTTCTAGAGAGTATGACTATCGATATTTCACGTAGTAAGGACAAATTTCTTGGAATCTATTTTAATCGTATGCATTCAGTATATACCCGCATCTACCGCGCTAACGAATACACGATTTCTCTGGCACTATGTCAACGTATGCGCGTACTTGTATGCTTTACTCGACTATTGATGTCGACCATGTCCACGCTTACAGTATACCTATGCAACATGCATGATGTGCTGCGCGTGTTACGGGAAATCATATAACTATAGGCATATTCGGTTTTGTCGTATACAATATGTACCTACACTGATAATGGCCTTCTAATATTTTTATTTATTCTTTTTTTTTATCAAGATTTAAACAATACGCATGCAAGCAAACAATATTATATTTCTTGAGCTGAAATTAATTATGCCTACGGTTAATGACTTTGTACTAACAATAGTTGAATTACATCCATAGTTAGTAAAACTCGATCATGGGTAATTTTTAACTACGTGTATAAACTACTATCTAGACAGTCAAAACATTGTATTCATTGTTTCGTTAGCTTCAAATAATTAAAATTATAATGCTGATTATTTTATTTTTGTTTTATAAATTACTTAAATATACATAATATATGTAATAAGTATATTCCTCATACTTTTGCTTTAGCTTCAAATTTTAAATCGTGTCCTTCTTTTGGTTACTTCTCGAATTCAGTTTTTTCCTCTAAAAATATAATATTTTATAAATTTTACCTGAAACTATCATCTTTATCGAATCAATACAACACTGCTGCGCCCTTGTCGTATTCAGAGAATCGAAAATAACAATAACATTCACCCTTCTCCCTCGGATCACGGTTTTTTTTTTCATCGTATTGAGATCTATATAGTATATAGATATAATATGGATCATGGATGAGTACTATTTAGGTAATTTTAAGTAACAATAATCCACCCATGATCATAATTGAAGATTTTTCGTTGTTGAATCATGCGAGTACAAAGATCGATCGCTCGTGTTGGTTATTGTGGTTTCTAAGAAAGAAGCGACTGACCGACGACATCGGTTAATAGACCAGTTTACATATTATACGTGCACAACCTGTTGAGGCATGTGTACTACTATCCAATTCTTTAATGTTGGTCGACGAATATCACGTCACATTCATTGGTTATTTTACAACTTATTTTCAGCAATATTCTCGTGCAAATTGACCTTGAACGATCTAGCGAAACTGAATAATATATTTGAAATATATATATATATAATACAAATATTTAAATATCGTATTATTTCCATTACATAAAATTATCGTACGCGCTATGTATTTAAGTTTTCTGCACATATTTAGGTACGGATCTATTTATTATATACGTTTTTGCTCAAAATCGAATGAAATAAATATGAACATTTTTGTTAAATATACTACTTGTTATATAGACAAAATGTAAATTATAACGGTTTTTATTCAAATATCCGGAATTAATAATATTGATGAATAACGTTACATAATTATATTATACAGTGTCGCCAACTATAGTTGAACACTTTTTTTTTATCGAATCATTTTTATTTATTCATAAAAATTAAACTTTAGGGAAAATCAAAATGTGAAATTTTTCATTTATCTTGAAATGTAATTTCCTACTGGCTATTACATTTATTTTTAAATTTTTTTACTGTAGTGCTTAAGTGGATCAAAAAAAAAATAAAAACATGTCTCGCTCTGTCTTATCTTGTCTGTAGCTGTCTTTATTTTTTAGTCAGAATAATTTATGAAATCCACAATCCAATTAGTTTTCGTGTTGTGCTTATTTGAGATACATGTGGTAATTCTTTTTTTAATATTGTGCATTCGTGCCGTGACAAATATCGTGTAGCTTCTACACGATCATGATTTCTTTCCGCTTTTTTAAGTAGGCTAAACGTTATTGCGGGCATGCTGCTTAATACCGTTCCGTCGTTATAAGATGACAAAATGTAAATTTTTTTTCTTTTGAGACTTCCTAGTGTATTTGCTTACCAGACTGAAATAAAAGATACACATCAGTTTATTTTTTTCGTGCCTTGTAATAATCGCGAATGACTAGAATAAAAATTTCAAGTTGTCAAAAATAACTGTAGTTTTTTACAATTTTAATGGGATACTGTTTTACGCGTAACGCATTATAACTATATCTAACTATACAGTTCTGTAGCTGCCAGTAATATTATATTGTGTGGCTTTAAAGTGGTAATTAAATACTGCTAAATATTTAAAATTGTCCTAATAGATAATACATACACTACGATCTTAATGATATTTTAATTTATACATCTATATAACCTTAATATAAAATTATTTTTGAATACAGTATTATAATGACTAAATTCTACCTAATACCTACGGTTATTACACATTTAGGTAACCACATTTTTTCTCACATTGTTCCCGTATTACTAATGACTCATGGGACTAACGGCGAATGACTGTAGAAATAATTTATCCGGTAAAAATGTGACATATTCTCACTATCTACTAATTTATTCCATATAATTAGAATTTGCAATTTTATACTTATCTGTAAGAATATGTTAATAGGCAGTGGATGGATAAAAAACAAGTATTCAAGAGCTTTCGTAGCCCAACCACTTTGCCACATTCATACATTATAATACAGTAAAGTTAAATATTATGTACTTATTGGTGTTGCCAATTATTTTAATGAATTTGAATGAGTTTTAAAAAAAATAAAAAAAATAAAATGATCATATGTTTAATCTGTAAAAATAAATATCTTTTCTAAACACAAGTTTTGCACAATTTTAATTTTAAATCGATTTTTTACGGATACTGTAATCGATTTAGATGGAACGTTTTTTATCGAGTCATCGAGTTTTGATAGTTTTAAGCATAATTAAAACACTCTAAAAATTAGTACATAAAGATTATCCAATAAATATAAAATACATTTATTTAAATTTATCTTTATTTGAACTGTTTATTCGTTTTTTTCTACAAGTTTACAGTTATTTAAATAATTGCAGTAACGAATTAAATTGTATATACATAATATGTATATTATCGCATAGAATTTGTAATTTGTTTATTTTTAATCTTGAATATCGATAAAATATTTTTCAATTATATTATAACGTGTATTATACTTACTACCTTTAATCTCGAAATTATAAAAAAAATTTAGGCTTGCTACTTCGATATGATTCGTCCTCAACCTCGTACCCTTTCGTAAAAAATAATATTGGGTGTTTCTCGCGTATTGCGTACGTGCTATTAAAATGGCTACCGGCTAATCACAAGCAATGTCGCTTTCATTTTTCTTCGGGCTTTCGGTGACCCTATTTTTACCTTATATTGACTATACACGTCTACACCCTATGGTCTAGTATTACCTGTATTATGCATCGATACGTTTTCACGACTTTCACGTGACATATTGGAATTTTATTATAATATACGTTATTATTTAGTATATTCGATTATTTTTTACGTTACTCGATGCAATATAGATCCGTGCGGTATGAATTTATCTCGGGAAAATAGTTATTTATGCGAAATACGCAAAACATCGACGCCCGCAAAAATCAAAAAAAGGCTGTGCTGATATTGCTGCTTTGACGGGCCTTGCGTTAGGCCGTTGATTGGTTCGTATAATCGTACGAGAAAGCATTCGTGGAAAAACGATCGTCTTTGTTAGTGTTGGAAAAAAAATTGCATTAATACGAACATTTTTACGATTAGGCAGGAAAATATATTGTTGCGTGTGTACGCGTGTGCACAAAAAAATAAAACAGCATTCCATGTGGTTATCTCATCTCGAGTGCGCGCGCGCGAGCTCAGCGCTCATTCCGCGGTGTTTATGTATACGAGTA